AAACCTGGGTCTCTCTGGAAGGAGTGGAAGGGGAGCCAGAGGCCAAGAGCCTTCAGGAACCATTTCAACAAGAGAATTGGGAACTAGAGCCCCGGCTGGGAGGCATCTTCAACTTTGGCCACTTCCCCACTTTTTCTGCCACCACGCTTCTACCCCGCAGGCCGCTGATCAACCCGTCCAGTAGGCGGCAAGGTGGCCTGCAGGGACAGCCGAGACAGCAGCTAGGGGAAAGCCCTCCCTAGACTAGACCATCTCCAGAGAGACCAAGCCCGAGGATCCTCTGGGGAAGGCTTCAAAACCCTAACCCAGGCTAGACGCCAGGCTCCTAAGCACCCTCCGGGAGGGCCCCCGAGGACCAAGTGGCACTGTACCGCAAGGGTCTATTGGGAGTGTGTCGCAGTGGGAAAGGCCAAGAGGAGCGGCTTTGTTGCGTCGTGCTCTATCTTTTCTGTAAAAGCCCTGGCTTTTCTTCCGTCATCCACATCCAAGTGAGTAGGAGAAAGATGGAGAGCCGGGCTGATGGAGAATCACCCATCTGGCTTCTGCTGTGCTGTGGGAAGGGTCGGGGAGGAGTGGAGGGCTCAAGGAGGGGCATGCCGCTTTTGAGAACACCTTAAGGCTCCTCTAGGATCAGAACACCACACCCCAAGGGCTCCTGCCTGGGAGGGAGGGAGGGAGGGAGGGAGGGAGGGAGGGAGGGAGGGAGGGAGGGAGGGAGGGAGGGAGGGAGGGAGACAGACAGACAAGCTCTCTAGCCTGTTGTGCCCTGGGCCCCTCATCGGGTTCCATCTCCCATCCCTTCTATGGGCTCCTTGGGCAATATGGATTCCAATCCTCTATCTTTGCTGAGCCCTTCCCCCACCACCTTCTTGTCCTTTGAAAGCCTGATGGTCCCCCATTCTCTGGCCCCATCAACCAGCCTGAGCTCAGGATGCCACTCTGAGATCCTTCTCTCTAGGTGACACGTGAGCTGCTTGTCTCGGCCCGACTTGGACAAATCTCTTCCACCGCCCGACTTGAGGGTGGGGGAGGTTTCTCATGAAGTGTGAACAACGGCCTAACGGACCTCCAGATAGCTGATATCTATCGACGCCTCCAATCTGCACACTTGCCACTCTGTCTACGAAGATTAGATAGGACTTGGCCATCGGCCTTCAGATACCCAACATCGCCTTCCCCCTTGTCTGTGCTCCCAGTGTCTGAGCAGCGTTAGCGAGACAAACGGCCGGCATGTTCTCAGCCCCGCCACTGACTCTTCCCCCGAGACGAGCTGACAGTATGGTGGGCCCGGCTTGACTCGGCTCTCTTAGGCCTTGAAGGCCCCAGCTCTGCTTTCTCCCTCTTGCTAGCTGCCGGTGCCCCGTTTTCTAGAAGAATCCCTGGGTGGCTGCAGAGCCTTTCCCGCACCCCATTTCCTTGCTGCCTCCAAACTGTTCACTGAGCATGACAGTATAATCCTCCCTGCCCCGCGCACCCCAATGTCTACTTCCTGGAACCAGTACTATGGACAGGGTTAAGAGGACAGCTTCTTCAGCCCAGCTGGTACAGAGGCGGAAGGCTTAGCAGAGTTATGGAGTTGGGAGAGGATCTTTGGCTGGTGGCAGGGCTGTACGCTGTGGACAAACTTTGCCATCCAGGTTTCACAGGTAAGGCCTTCCTTGTGAGCATCTGCAAAGTAAATGGAAAAAAAAAAACAACGGAAAAAAATGCAAAGACATCGCTGTCCCTAGGTATCGTGGAAAAGGTTTATGGGATAAAGGGAGAAGTAATCAGAGGCAGAAACATCTAGGGGGGGTCTGCGTGAGCATGACCCTGAGTCACGTGAGGAGAGGGAGTGGGGGGAGCGAGAGCAGCGCTGACCAGGAGGGGCAGACTGGGCCGAGACACTGGCCAGGAGAGTAGACAGGTAACCATCATGATTGGGTTATATAAGGAAGGGCATCGGGGGAAGGGCAGCGTAGCCCCCCCCCGCTGGAGAAGTTCAGGGTAGGGGGTAGGGGGTGCCAACCAAGAGGGTCCTGTAACAGAGTGAGTGATGCTGGGAGAAACTGGTGACCAGCATCCTCATTGATGTTAAATAGGCATCTCAGCCTTCATCCTGGGTTGGACACCTAGGTAGCAGGGCCCAGACCCATACTATAGAGGAGACTACCCTTCAGAGGTCTCCCAGCCAGTCAACCAGTGCCCCAAAGCTGGGTTCTTTGGACCTGCCTCCTAAATGGGTGCACTCCAGGTGGGAGCCAATGCTCTGAGGACCAAAACCGCAGGACCCTGCCCCTGCCTCCACTCTCTCCTGCTGACCTCTCTGACCTCAGCCCCACCTGCCCGAGTCCCCAGAATTTGTCTCTCCAACCAATTGTCCTGTCCTGTTTAATCTGTCTCAGCTTTGGAGAGGAAGGCTTGATCTCTTCTAGGATGCTGCAAACTCTAGTGTTGCCTGATTCCTCTACACTGGCTACCCAGCATTCCCCGGTGATTCCCCTGGCTTCAGTTCCTCCAGCAAGGACTGGAGGCTGCCCCCTCTGCAGTCAGTACTGTTGTGCGGGTGCTAGCGATTGAACCCGGATCCTTCGTGTGAAGCCATCTTCCAGTCTCTAGGCAACTCCTTTAGCCTGGAGTCCCCAGGAGAAAGGAATCCAGGATGACTGAGCGCGGAGGCACCTAGTCCGGGTAAGACTGAAAAGCCTGTGTTTTTAAAGTAGTCTGCTCTTTTTTTCCCTGATTTCATTTATGGAGTTTACTAGAGAACAAGGTAAATATCAAGGCCAAGGTGTGTGTCTCCTCCCTCCCCCACCCCACCTTTCTTCCCCTTTCTTTCTGTTTCCAACCTCTCCTCACAGCCTGCAGGAAGCTTGGGTTTAGTGGCCCTCACCTCAACAGAATGTCTCAGCATCTACAAATGAATCTCATTAATTTGGGAAAGATTTATCAGTGCAGAGGTTAATTGTCTTTCCCTGACACGCTTTTACTGCGTTCATCTGGGTGACAAAATTAATTTCCTCATTAGCTATTTTTGAAAGTGGGACAAAGTCGAGGGGGGAGTCAGCACGGAGGGCTTTGTGCAGTGCATGACATCCTGCCTGGGTCACCTCCCAGCACTCACCCCACCCAGCAGCCAGGGACACCCAGTTCAGGGGTCAGTAGTCCAAAATGACACCCAAGGATGTCTAGACTCAGTTGAGTAGAGACAGGTATTCCCAGCAGCCCTGTAACTCCAAGTGGAGACAAGATGGGTCACCTACAAAAAAGATCGGGGGTGGGGGGATCCGGGTTGGGTTCTTGGGCTATGACTCATCTCTCTAGGCCTGTTTACTGGACTGTAGAGGCAATGGCTGCCCACAGACCCAATCCCTGACCCCAGGGACCACCCAGACATGGGAGTCCCTGGCTATGTCAACCCCTCCTACTCTCCTCTTCCAGAGACACCCTTCAGATACATTCCAGCCAAGACTGCCCAAGACAGAGATAATGAAAACACTCAAGACACAATGTACAAATATCCCCATTTGTGCCCACCTCAATCCGCCTGGGCAGGCACATGCTACTACCCCACTCTCTCGGAAAAGAAAACAGAAACTCAATAGGTCAGAAGACTGTCATGGGTCACCACCAGGGGAAAAGTCCAGGTCAAAATCTGGCTTCTCTGGGCATTCCCCATGGCACCGGTGATCTCTATGGGAGACGCCAGGCCCCCGTGTTATCCCAAACCTTTCTAAGGAATCTCAGGCTCCTGTGTGATCCCTAATCTCTTGGACAACCCCAACTCTTTGTGTCATCCCCAGCCTTCAGGAAATCTAAGCCACCATGCTGTCCCCCTGCTGTCCTCGGCCTTCTGAGAAACCCAGACTCCTTGTCATCAATGGGCTCCTAGAAAGCCCTCTGCTTAGTGTCATCCTTGATGTTCTGGGGGGTGGGGAGTGGTCCCAGATCCCATGCCAGAAGCACCAGACCCCCTGAGTGACACCAGTTCACTGTGGCTTTCCCGGCTTCTCTAGAGTGTCCCCCAGGACAGTCCCCCTCCCCCACACCCTCCACAAGCCAGGTTTCCACTTAAAGGGAGTCATGCTCCTCCTGATAACCCTTGTCACTCAGCCCTCATCTGCTTTAAGCCCCCAAAGCGCACCTGCATGCTTGCAGACTCTGTGACAGTGGCACTGCCATCAACCTCCTGTACAGTCTCTGGGACAGGAACTCCAAGTTCTGTGTAGATTCTCCACTGTAGAGGGACAGGAGTTGACAGCTGATATGAGACCAAGGACCAAGTTGTTCCGGATTCCACCGAGTGGGAAGCACCCTGCTTGCCTGCCTACAGGAGCCTCATGGGACCACCACACACTGATACAGCCTAGGGATGAAAGAAACGGCCCACACCCGTGAGATTGAAGGGAGCTGAAGAAGGCTTCCTGGAGGCGCGCACCATCATAGAGCTTAAAGAGAAGTCTGCAGTACCAATCAAAGAGACAGAGAATGACAAGGACCAGAAATCCTAACAGCCCTGGGACCAGTCCACTTCTGCATTCCCTGCCCTGCTCCCCATAAGCCTTTTGGCACCTGAAATGGGAGGCTGATGGAGGAGGCACCTTTGGGTGCAGGGCAGTGGCGGAACCCAACTCAGCGAGAGGCTCTCCGGGAGCCGTGCAGAAGCATGGCCAGAGCTGTCAGAGCCACAGCAGCACCTCACCTACACAGTAAGGAAGCCCAGCAAACAGACGCTTCTAAAGAACTGTTTCCTAAGGAACAGAGTGCAAGGGCTCGGAAGCCGCTCGTTCCAGGAAACACTCAATGTAAACATTTTAAAGCCCGGCGTGCTGATGCGCTCATACAACCCCATTGTCAGGGCTCACTGTCCACTTAGTCCAGCGCCAGGGTTCACTGTCCACTTAGTCCAGTGCCAGGGTTCACTGTCCACTTAGTCTGGGATGATTGGTGAGGGCTTGGTCAGTGGAAGATTCTTGCTCAAAAGTAAGTAAGTAGACAAATAAATAAATGAAGGCCCAGTGTGGTGGCTAATGTCTTTAATCTCAGCATTCAGGAAGCAGAGGTGGATGGATCTCTGTGATCTTGAGGACAGCCTGGTCTACAAAAGGAGTTCCAGGCTAATCAGGACTATAAAATGAAACCCTGTCTCAAAAAAAAAAAAAGAAAGAAAGAAAAGGAAGGAAAGAAGAAACAAAGGAAAGAGAGAGAGAGAGGGAGGGAGGGAGGAAGGAAAAAGAAAGGGGAAAGAAAAGGAAAGGAAAAAAGAAAAGAGTAATTTTTTTTGAAAGATAGCTCCTGGGAACAACAGATGAGGTTGTACTGTGACATCTATATACACACTAGTACATATACACACTCCCATATGTGCCCACACAAACACACACACACACACACACACAAGAGTGATTGGAGAGAAACTGGCAGGCATTGGCAGGTGACATCCTGGATAACCTCAGAGAGAAAATTGGAAGGTACCATCTGGAACCCAGTGGGCATATGACATCCTGGCCAGTGAAGTGTCCCAAGGGATTGTGTGGAACCAGAAAAGATAGATCCTAGCACATGGCAAAGATGATGAGCCCAGACAGAGGCAAGTGTCGTTTCACAGAGAATTGGTGCTCACACCAGGCATGGTCTAATTACCCAGACCTTCCATCTGAACCACACCATCTGATGAGGGGGCGGCTCCACAGGTGTCTCTAGAAATGCACCTGGTAGCCTGCATCGACTCCTTACACGAGCTTCTGTGTGCTTCCAGATGACCTGGCACACTGCCCTTCCGAAGCCAGCAGGGGATGAACCGCTCAATAAGAAAACCAGTTGTGTGACACCTAGGGCTAGAAAGAACCATGATGCTTAGCTCTGGGACCTAGGATGACCCAGTCTGACTCCAAAAGGCAAAGATCTCAGAATGCAGACTCCAGCCCACAATCCATTCTACATGACTTCTCATTTAAGACCGACCCGCTTACCCAGTTCTAGGCTGTGTCCAATCGACAGTCAAACCTAACCTGCCAACACACCTTCCACGCTAGACTCTCCCCCTCTTCCAATCCCCACCCATCATCTTACCACACCGACCAGCCCCTCATGTCTACCTTCCTCCATCAGACCCCACCAGGGCAGACAGGCATGGCTGGTTGAGACACTTCTATTAGGAAACCTCCTTTGTACTTGATCTGCCTACTGTAGGCTAAGAGACCCCAATACAAAGACTTCAACACCAGACGTCAGGAAAGTCTATTATAGGTCTTGCCCAGAGCTTGGTACCCAAGAAGAGGCGGGAAAATGTGTAGACTCCACTGTGTAATTCATTTTCATTCTTCATAATTCTCATCTACAAATGGACCAATAAAATCTACTAATGATGTAATAGGGAGGGCTAGCTGAAAGGTAGGTAGAGCCAGATGGCTGGCCCAATCCCCCAGGCCCTAGACCTGAGGCTGGGAGCCAGGCCTGTCACCCCTACGTCCCACACCCCACCATTTACACAAGTTCCCAAGTGATTGTACCACCCTCTGGGGACTCTGCTGTCCACACAGGGCCCCGCCCCTGCAGAGAAGTCTCTGGATAGAAAGACACCCTTGAATAGTAATTGCCAGCATGCAGGCAACTCCAAAACACCGTTTCAAAGCATAAAACGAGAATAATGAATAGGTAAGTTCAACATGTTCAGTCCGGAGGAGTGGCCTGCTCCAGTGAGGGAATTTCCTTCTCTTCATTTTTGGAAATGCCAAGGAACATAACTTTAAGTGTGATCAGATGGCCTAATCAGGGTGTGGCACACTCACCCACTAATACCTCAGCGAGAAGGCTAGGGTTCCCCTTGAAAGGAGCCATGCTCAGACCTCTCAAAACATGAAACCATTTACTTCGGCTCCAGTGTTTTAAAAACAATTGCTTGTGCCACGCATGTGCACACACACATGTACACCAGCTTCTGGTTCACAATGAGTGTGTGCCCCGTGGTCTTCTCTGTGTTACTCACAGAGTCCAGGGGACAGACCCAGGCTGGGTGGAGGCACCCCTCTCTACACAGGGTATGCCCCAGTCTCCACGTCCCGCCAGCCACAGCTGGTGAATCACTCGGACAGCAGTCTGTGCCTTTTCCCAATTACCATAGCTGTAGAAGCTGACTGAAAAACCAGTAGCAGCTGGCAGGAAATGGGTGAGAAAGTTGACCACAGATAAACTGCAAGGCTCTACAGGGGCAGTAGAGAAACTCCCAAGCAGGAAGTTATGCTACGAGGACTCCAGGCCAAAAGTGTTCAGGCCCCAGCAGGACTCCAGGACCCACTGTGGGGACTGCCGCTGTGACTTCCCAATGAGGCTGGGCTGGCTTCACCCAACCCAAGCACGTCCAAGCACAGCCATATCCACTGGAGGAGAAGGGGACTTCAGAAAAGATAAACACCAAGCCAAGTTCCTTGCGTCTGGGATTCCCAGGTTCCCACAGTCATGGACAAAGGCAAAAGCTACAATATTTTTGATGTGGTGTAATAGCCAGGCCGGGGCAGACACTCATGGAATCAGAGTAACTATAACCCATGAACCCTCCCAGGAAAAGGCCTGTTCTAAGGCAAGGAAGGACCCAGGCTCAACAAGTCCGTGAGGATGGTGACAAGTCCAGAGAATGTGACCCTCCCTCCTTCCAGCTTCTCAGCAGACTCAGAGGGCACCGTCACAGCTCACAGTTCTGCAAAACACGATCAGTGGGCAGCAGAACAGACCCTTCCCAGACGTGGTCCTCCATTAACACTTACATGCACCGGGCGGTGGTGGCGCATGCCTTTAATCCCAGCACTCGGGAGGCAGAGACAGGCGGATCTCTGTGAGTTCGAGGCCAGGCTGGACGGACAGCCTCCAAAACAATACAGAGAAACCCTGTCTCGTAAAACCAAAATCAAAAAACAAAAAAACACTCACATGCATCATAGGAGATGGGTCACACTATTCTGTTTTTTACAGAGAAGCCAGTACGGGCCGAGGACTGGTAGGTGTAACTCTGCACAGCGTGGCCTGTAAGCCGAATGTGTGAGCAGTATCCTCCCTGTGCATTGGATGCCGCCAGCCTCTATATCCACAATGAGCCATTAGTTGCTAAGGAAGAGCGGCCAACTGGAGAGCCACAGCTACGCGTAGATCCAAGAGCGGCCAACTGGAGAGCCACAGCTATGCGTAGATCTACAGCTGAAGAGCACACTGAGGGGTTTAAAGTCACCTTCTCAGTGGCCCAGGTAGATGACTGCCCAGGGCACCACCCTTTTTTTACACCCAAAGTAGATCCGGGAGTTCTTCTGAGAGCCTCCTCGGCAGGAAGTGACCAGGCTGTGGGCCACCAGCTTCACCTCAATGGGCTCTGTGACAAGCTGCCGTGGCAAGGAGCTGCAGCAGCTGCGCTTGAACTTGTGACTGCCTGCAGTCCCTAGGAAAGGGGAGGGGCACATCTGGAAGGATGGGTCTGAATGCCCACGAGGCTTAGGGTGAGATTCCCTTCCTGTGCGGAGATTTTGCAGAGAACACCTGCCCGGCAAGCAGGTGGTCCCCTGTGCTGGGCCCCTGGGCTACAGCTTGGGTTAACAAGGCAGGCTTCAGCTGGGTCTGACTCACTCTCGTTCCTGGAACCGTCTGAAGGCGGGAGAGGATGCCGTGGGTAGGGCTCCAACTGTATCATCTGGGCTGGGGCCAGTAGCAGATGGTCCTTAAAAAAAAAAAAAAAAGACATACTTCCATGTGGGCTTAAAATAGCACAGTATTCACCATCAGCTGAATGGGGAAATGTATGAGGCAGTAAGTTAGCATGGTAGCATGGGAGTGGGCATCATGGGTTTATATGAAGGAATAAGGAACATAGGCATCACCTGTGGTCAAGAGGAATCCACCCATGCTTGGCCTCACTTTGTTGGGTGGCTTACAAATTCCAAGGCCTCAGCACCCTCCCAATTGCCTCCTCGGTGAGCCTCAGAGAACTCAGGGACCTGATACACAATTGGGAGTCTAGACATGGGACAGCAGTACTTCCTGCTGCCCACACACAGCAGCTGGAGAAACCCCTTCTTCATCCAGGGAGATGCAGATGGCCACGAGGGGTCCAAATGTCATGTTGGTCCGGAGTCCATATCTGCACTTGAGCCTGGAGGAATGTGGAAGCCGGTCCCAGGTGCTGCCCCTGAGGAGTTCTCGCATCCGCCCCTCACAGTGTTTGTCTGTGACAGGCTACTTCCTCTTTGCACCTCAGTTTCCTTATCTGTCAAATGGAGCAGGCATGGGGGCCTGCCACGGGAGAGCCCCAGCACATGCAGGTGCTCTACAGATGAAACATGGCATGGCCTGTCTCTCTCAGGGAGGAGAGAGCTCTCTGCCTCCCCAGTCACTTTACACGGTGCCTCTGTCCATCCTTAATTCTCACTATGTGTTGGCAAGTAGACACATCAGCTCTGAGAGGCTGGGGCTCACTCCCACCCTCCCTGGGCTGCCTGGAAGTGGAGGGAAAGAACCAGAAGCTGCTACTGTTTACACTAAGAAAGGCCACGGTAGGCAGCACCGATTCCCTCCTGCTGTCCAGACCCCAAGAGCGCAGGAAATAGGAGCCCAGGCCACCATGGTCTTTGAAAGACAGAAGACTTCCGGACATATGGGGAAGATAAGGAAGCCAGAGGCCTCCTGACATCCAGTCCAGACAGGGGCTTGTCTGAGGTGGAGGTTTCCACTCATCAAACCTCGGTGTTCTTAGGGTTGGGGATGTGGAATACTAGAAGATGGAATTAAAAGTCAGCTCCAGGGAGTAGGGGAATTAAAAGCAGCTCTGGTTGTAGCTTGTACCAATTTATATGGTGTAAACACTCCTGCCTTGGACAAGTTCATCACTGAAGGCAAACTCGGGAATAGCAAAGCATAGTCAACTGCCCTGAGCACCAGAGTCTCATACTCAGAGCACATTACAGCCTTACCACCTGCTCAGGGGACCAAGAACAGACAGCGGCCAGTGCCAGCCGGAGCAGAAGGGTTGTTGCCTGTTACAGGTTGAACGTAAGAAGTCCCCCAAAGACTGGTGTATTGGAACACTTGGTGGCCAGCTCGTGGTGCTAACTGGGAAGTTTCTGGAACTTTTAACGGGCAAGGCTGTGGTGGTTTGGATGAGAAAGGCCCTCATGGGCTCATATATTTGAATACTTGGTTCGAGGTTGGTAGAACAGTTTGGGAAGGATTAGGAGGCGTGGCCTTATTGGAGAAGGTGACTCACTGAGGGTGGGCTTTGAGGTTTCATAGGGCTCCCAGTCTTCTTTCTCTGTCTCATGGCTGTGGATCAACAGGTGAGCTCTCAGCTGCTCCTTCCCTCTGTCGACACAGACTCTAGCCCCCTGAAACCACCAGCCAGAATGAATGCTTTCTTTATAAGTTGTCTTGGTCATGGTGTCTTATCACAGCAACAGAAAAGTAACTAAGACAAGGGCCTCGAGGTTTACAGTCCCACACAAGTTCCTGCCCCCTCTCAGCTTCCTGGGCCACGGAGATATGAGAAAATAGTCATGTGTTTCTGCCACCACGCTCTCTCTACCATGACAAACTATACCTTCAAATTATAAGCCCAAAGACATCCTTTCTCCCTTAACCTCGGATCAAGTATTTATCGTGATAACCAGAAAACTGGCCAACTATGGCCCAGGGATGAATAAGAGCATAAGGCTCTTGTGGTGACTGTGCCTAGTTAGCTGTGCCTAGGTAAATCTCCATTCTGTTGACCTGTATGACTCTAGGTACTGAGCCACCCTTGGTCTCTACAAAAATGGAGAAGACTAGAATCTTGTTTATCATATGGATAAAGACGATGGCTAATCAGGACTATCAATTGAGTGGGTTGAGAAATGCCTGCAAAATTACACTTCTGGGCGTGTCTATGAGGGTATTTCCAAAATTTCCAGAGCGGATTCACTGCAAGTCAAAAGCCTTCCCTGAGTGTGGGTAGCATCATTCACCAGGACCAGCTGGTGTCAACGGGAGGCAGTCTATCATCACCCTGCTGACGCCCTGAGCTTCCTTCATAGTCCTGGTACTGTGCGACTACTCATTTGTGTAGCAAATTAACACCTGGCTCTCCCACTGGGCCAGGAGTTCCCAAAGGCATAGTTGACCAGCATTTTGAACAAGGTTACTCTTTGCCATGAGACACTGTGAACTACTTGAATATCCCCAGCGTTTACCAACTCATTGCTAGGAACACCCCAAGTCATTGAGCCAGGAATCCACACCCTTGGTCAATTCCATTCATTCTAGGAGCTGGGAATGCCTGTACAGAGAGCCATCATCCTAGATACTGGGAGCTGGGAGCACAGAGGCTCTGTCTTGGTTTGTTCAGCCCCTCAGCGTCCTGTGGGACCTTAGAACAAAGTAGCTGGTAGAAGGAGAGGCAGTTCCTACTAAGTAGGCTACCACGTAGGCAATTCTGACGGCAGACCAGGCACTACAAAGATTTGACAGTTGGGGTCTTAGAAACCCAAGACTCCAAAAGCGTTGGTATCTGCCCAGGACTCAACTGGGCAGGACCCAAGGCAGCCTTCCTGTCACTTCATCTTCTCCAGAATCCCGAAGCACAGATGATGCAACTGCTTCCTCTGCCCTGTGGCAGGAGGTGGAGCTGCTGATGTCTCTCTCTGGCAGCCGGGGTCCTTGTTCTCCCTGCCTGCTGCCAACCCTCTTGAAGGCCTGCCCGGTGAGCTACTGTCCAGTGAGAAGCAAGCTGGAAGGCAGAGCCACGCGCAGACAAGCGGCGAGCACAGCTGTGGGAACGCGGACGTCACTAGATGATCCAGGGCAGGGCACAAATTCTTGATTCAAACGCTTTCCTCTGGCTCCAGGCTCTCACTGTCCACCACACGGTTGAGTTTCTGCCCCATCATCCAAATGCCAGCCAGCCACTTCAGGGGTCCACAGGGAGCATCTGGCTTTGTGTTCCACTTAGTCAACAAGCACATAGCCAGCACTCACATGTGTCATGCTGTCCACTCCAGAATTCACATCCATCCCCCCGCCGTTGGCCTCACTGGATCCCTGCCTAGTTATTCCGTCCAACTTGACAAGATGGCTTTGCAGTCGACAGTGCTCGGCCCTGGTCCCGCAGCATCCAACAGGTTCCCCATACCCAGTCCTGATCCAGATGAGCTAAAGGCACTTGGCTGTCTCTTGCCACGAGCTTGTTTTACTTAACTGTACTTCTTAGCCTGTGTCGTGTGTTCTGCAGAGTCTTCTAGGCATCCAACAGGGTCAAGAATTCGATGCATCTGAGACCTTCTGGGCACAAGTTAGTGTTCTGTGTTGAGAACATGGTTATGAAGTAGAGGAGAGGCCAAGAGGATTGGAGTCCAAAAGAGACTTGCATCAGGCTGTGCTAGATGTAGAGATGGTAACCATGGCAAACATTTTCTCAAACAATTTATATGGACTATCTCATTGAATCTGCACAATGACCCCATGCCATAGATACTACTTTTAGTGCCACTTTACCAAGAAAATTACTGGGGCACATAGAATTAGGCCTGTTTGACAACATATGGCTTGCAAATGACAAAGCCAACATTTCAACCCATACAGTCCAACTTCAAGGCCAATACACTGAAAAATCAAGGACAACTCAGGCATGTCAGACAACTCAGTTATGTGTAGCTGTGTAACAAATATCCCCAAACTCAACAGCCAGATACAAGTATATATGATCTCCTTGTTCCAGGAATCTGGAAGTAGCCAGCTGGTCTCTCTCCCATAGGATATTCATGAACTGTGGCTGAGACAACATCTCAGAATTGATGAGGCAGCATCTTGACTAGAGAGCTGAGTTTCTCACCATGTGGACATCTCCAGAGCACAGCTCACAACATAGCAGTGAACTTATATAAACATGAACAAGTGAGCCAAATAGAGGTCACAGTCATCCTGCAGCCTCATCATAGGTCAAGTGCCAATGCTCCCACCATGGTCTGTTCATGAGAGGTGAGCCTAAGTCTAGCCATAACCAGAGGAAGGGAATGCAGGATGAGCAGATGTGGCATCCCTGAGAGGGGATCAAGAAGCACCCAGATAAAAACTGAGTTCATGTGTGAATGTATGTGAGTATGTGTACATGTGAGTGTGTGCCTGTTTTGAGTATTTGCATGTGTGTGCACATGCACATATGTTCATATGTGCATGTACATGTGTGTGCATGTGTGTCTGTGCAGGCACATGTATGTACATGCACATATGTTCATGTGTATGAGTGTATGTGTGCATGTGAGTATGTGTGTGTTCATGTTTGTGTGTATGTATATGTATGCATGTGTGTGCATGCACATGCTCATGTGTGAACCTACACATGAAGGCCAGAGGTCAACCTCAGGTATAATTTATTAGGAGCTGTTCACCTTGTTTCTTGAGACAAGGTCCCTCACTGGAACATGAGGCTCATGTCTGGCTGGTGAGTGAACTCCAGGGGATTTCCCTGTCTCCACCCGCCTCCCAAGCACTGGGATTGCAAGCACACACCACCACACTTGACTTTTTGTGTGGGTGCTAGTGATTGAATTCAGCTTCCGTGCGTGCAAGGCAATTACTTCAGCACCTTGTGTCTCCTCCACCCTCAGACAGGTCTTCTTAGGTGAGGGCAATGGCATCAAGGAGAGTGAAGTTCAGACAGCACCACACACACACACGCGCGCACACACACACACACACAGACACACACAAGCTAAGGCTCCTTTATTTCGATTTCCTGTGTTTTGTTTTGTTTCGTTTGGTTGAGTTTGAGGGGTTCGTCTTGTTTTGGTACATGATCTTTCTATGTACCCCATCTGACCTCACACTCACAATGATCCTCCTGCCTCAGCCTCATTTGTGCTGAGATTACAGATGAGCAGCCCCGTGCCTGATTTTTTTAAAGACACATGCTTCATAAAGGTCATCTACACACTAAGCTGTGTAAAAAGCAAGCAAACAAACAAAACACCAGCATATTTATGTTGTGCTGGCATCGGGCCGCAGGCGTGGCACCATGTCGCCGCCTCCATTCATCCCCATTGCCATTCCACCCGCCCCTCACTCCTCTAACAGACACCTGTTTACCCTTAACCGTTTGTCCCCTGCTGCCTGTCATGCGGGTGCACCCAAAGACTCCTGAGCTAGTTTCCCCATCAATCACTGCCTGGGGTCACTCTCAGCGTTCAGACAGCCAAGCCACTTGCTCAGAGACTATCCATGGCTCCCCATGACCAAAGACAGGACCTGAACTGGAAGCCAGTGTTCAAGATCTTCTACCCCGTAGCCCAAGCCTCACTAAGACACCTGACTGCCTCCCAACTTCCTGTTCCAAGCCATCGCCCACTGTTCCCTAACTCCCACGGCTTCCCCTGACGCTCTTTCCTCTCCCAGGTCCTGGGTTTCCTCGAATGTCAAGTTCAAGCCCCAACTTCTCTGAGCGGCTGCAGAACACTTCAGATCCCCGGGGTGCTGGACTTCCCAAGTCTCTCCACAGTGGCATTTAAGCTTCAGTACTGCAGGCAGACACAGAAGGGGCCGTGCGAGGGCCCTTCTCCACGCCTGCACTGCCTGAACCTGGTCGTCCCTCTGAGTCACCTATGCTTGGACACCCAGCCCTTCCTCAAGAAGCTCTCAGTGTCCTCTGCCAACACCTGCTTCTCTGAAGCTCAAGGCTGGACAGACAGATTTCCCTTCTCCCCAGACATACTCTGACTTGTCACTCACACCAGAGACAAGACATCTTTCCCCTGCCAACCATGACTGCAAACCCCGGAGTGTTCACAGAGTGTCTACAGGACCGTAATGAATCGTTGGAGGGGCGTCGGTGAGCAGTGGCATGCAGTGCAGATGAGTCCCTCGCCTCGTGCAGAGGAGAGAACTCCGTGGTGAGGGCAAGATGCAGGTGTGCAGGGCAGGGGCTGAGCGGATTCACGGCAGCCCTGTCAACACAGCACCTCCTGTCACCAGCCTCATGAGCCTCCTACCTACCAGGCCCTGATCCATAACACCAGTGTTCCTCGCTGCCCGGGGCCTTTTGAAACTCATATCCACAGGCTGTTCGGCAATGAACACTGCTACCCACATTACGTTTGCTTTTATGGATCTCACCCAGGAGGAGATGGGTCCAGTGGTTCCTGAGTCACATCCCACAAGACCCTGGGCCTTTACAGAAAAGGCAGAAGTTGGGCCTGGGAAAGCTCACAGCTAACAGCAGATGGGGCTTGCGTTGGCTCCTGGAAAGTCCTCTGTGGCCAGGTGCCTTTCTGGAAGTCCCCTAAGTATTCAATCAGAGGCCGGCAGCTTCTCCCACACGGTTTTGGTCTCAGGACTGCTTGATAAATCTCTTTAAAGTACTGGGCAGCCCAAAGGGGTTTTGCTCAAATGGAATATAGTTCATGGTGTCTGTTGAGAAAAATAAGCATGTATCAATTTGGGTCAGAATAATAACCAGAAGAAGGGCTGGGGGTGTGGCTCAGTTGGTAGAGTACTTGCCTAGAATGCTTGAAGTCCTGGTTGTCTCCAGTATCATACACGTTAGGTGTGGCACTGCATGGCTGTAACCTCAGCATATAGGAACTGAAGCCCAGAGGTTCACAAGTTCAAAACTATCTCCACCTACAAGATAAGTTCCAGGTATCCTGGGATACATGAGACCCATACCAATAAAAACAACAATAAGTAGAGCTGGGCCTAGTGGCACAAGTCTATAATCCCGATTCTTGGGAGCTTTACATAATGGGATCACAAGTTCACAAGTTCAAGGCCAGCCTGAGCACCTTACTTTGTTTTTAATGAGCTCCAGGAGGAAGGACGTAGGCAAGTGGTAGCTTCCTCATCTGGCATGTACAAGGCTATGGGTTCTATCTCAAGGACCCCCCCAAAATAATCCACCATAAGCCACGATTAAATCCATTACACATTAAAATGAATTTCATATTTCAAGAGTAACTGTTCTCCTAAGTGCCGTCGAGAATGGCTCATGCTTGTCCAGAGCCCCTAAACATCTGACTCACACAAACTCCTGGTTCCAGCTCAGTGCCAACTGCAGAACTCTGCTATTCAGCTGCAATGTGTGAAGAACAATGAGCCCCAAACAATACAGAGTTGAGAAAAGACAATGGACCTTGTTAGGCATTTGTAGATTTACTTCTTTATCATTACTCTAACATCGGGGAAGCGATGGTCTCTTACAAGTTAATGGCAATCCAGAATCCATTCATCTATCTGGAATTCATTCACCTGCTGTTCCCATTGTTAAAACAGGGCCTCACATAGCCCAGGCTGGCCTTGAACTCACTCTGATCTTCCAGCCTCCACCTCTCAGGTGCCAAGATTACAGACACACACAACCACACCGGGTTTTACGCGGTGTTAGGGAGACTCAATTCGGGGCCACCTGCATTTCAGACTGAGTCACAGCCCAACCCTAATATTTTTATACATGGTGACACTAAAACCCATTAGCCATTATGCACTGTGAATAGATTGGTTTTATCCATTCATGATTTTGCCACATTGTGAGTTAGTCATTAGGCAAATATTGATTCACTGAGTTATGCAGATCTAGGGGAATGTTGACACATTTCACTGCTCAGTCATGGCACGAGCAAACACAGTCACTGGTTTATTGGGGCAGTGTCTGTGTGCTAGCCATCTTTAAACTCACAGGGGTAAAAAGGGGTTTTCTAAAAAATCAGATTTTAATTTGAAAGCTTCACTTCTATGATTGGCAGCAGGGACTGTTAGCTATTTGTCTTGAAGCATTAGGCTCACTTTCTTTTCAAAGAAATGCCTGAGCCAGGTCTAGTGACATAGACTTGAATTCCAGCTACCTGGAAAGATGTGGCAGGAGACCAGCCTGGACAACCTCATGAAACCCTGCATCAAAATTTAAAGTTGGGGAGTAGAGAGAGAGCTCAGTGGTTAAGGGGATGTGCTGCTCTTGCAAAGAACACAGAGGCTACATCTGGCAGCTCACAACCAACAGTAACTACAGATCCAGGGGCATCCAGCGCCCTCTTCTGACCTCTGTGAGCAACTGCACTTACATGCACATACCTCCACATAGACACACACACACTTTGAAAATGAAATCTGAAATAACATTTTTGAAAAGGCTGTGGATCTAGCTCATGATAGGGTATTTGCCTAACACGCAGAAGGCTCTGTGAGATGAGGAGAGGGGTAGAGGGAGGAGGGGAGAAAGGCTGGACATAAAGGGGGAGAGGGGGAAGAGGAAAGGAAGGACGAGAAAGAGAAAGAAGAGTGGACAGAGCAAAGAGTAAAGAAAATGAGGTTTTGAATGATCTAGTTTGGTTTTGTTTGTTGTTTTGGTGTTTGGTTTCTCTAAAGATTTATTTACTGATTTATGAATATAGATAATTTATAAGCATGTATGTATGGGCACCACATGTATACACTGCACCAGGAGACCAGAACAGGGTGTTGGATTTCCTGAGACGGCAGTCACACTGCCATTGTGAGCTGCCATGCGGGCGCTGGGTTTTGAAGCTGGGTCCTCAGGAAGAGCAGACAACGCGCTTAACCACTGAGCCATCTCTCCAGTCCCCTCCCCCGACGCTGTTTATCCAAAGGACCACTCACTTGGTCACAGCTGAAGATCCCACCACCAGGACCCTGGAAATTACCCCCAAGGCCTCTGTCTCTAAGACACACAGACTAATCTTGGGGTAGAGATCTAAAACAATTGTCCTTTACCAAGATTCTAAAGGAAAGGAAAATGCCATTGCTCACCGTGGCTGTGTGACCACAAAGTGTACAGTGAGCATCCATGATGACTGTGGGAAGATCACTGGGCTCCTGCCTAGGGGCCTAACGTTTACCTGTCGTGTCTCACAACACCAAGGCCAAACAGCATCGTAAGCAGGGCGTGTCCTGTGCTAGTATTTTTTTACAACAATAGCTCTACCTCTGGCTTCCCTGATGGCACATTGGGGAGCCTCAGATGCCCACAAGACAGTCCTTGTAAACATTTCTATAAAATGAAGGAGCCTGCTGGGCTGGGAAGGCCATCTCAACTCCACAAAGATTGCTGTCTTATAGACAGTTCCCAAATCCTAACTATCAGAGCAAGGCAGAGAGCAGATCTCCATGAAGGAGTCCTGCAAGTCACGCCTAGGGAATCCCAGTTCACCTGCACAATCCTCATAGCAACAAAGACAGACAAAGACATCGAGCAGTGAGTTCTTCCGGTAGCCGATGCAGCGCAGGGCTCATGAAGGCCGGAACAGTCACAACAAGCACCAGGACACAGGTGAGATGGGGAGATGGGGGCTGGGGCACCATTCAGGGCCACAGGCCATGCTCAGCCCTGAGTCCCAGCTCCAACACTGCATGGAAAACCTAGGTACAGAAACCAGCGCTTTGGAGAGGACCAGTGAGATCCAGTCAAGTAAGATTAAATTCATGCCTCAGCAGCCATTCCTCTCAAACCATGAAAAGCCAGGCCTTTATGTTGTCCAGGCACTGACGTTAATGCAGCCACACATTGATTGTGGTTTTAGAAAAACAATATCAGCCTTTGGGGAAATCCAGAACAGAAAAAAAAATCATTCTCCCTCTTTATTTAATGACATACAAGAAGTAAATAGACGCTTTCTTTCTTTCTTCCTATCTTTCTTCTCTTTTTGGAACGTCTCATTCTATAGCTCAGGCTGAACTCACTCTCTTGGAAATCCTCCTGCCTCAACATCCTGTGTCCTGAGATTAGGGGCATGCACCACCACACAGTTTATGCATCACCTGGACTAGAACTCAGGGATTCATGCATGCTGGGCAAGCACTCTACCAACTAAGCTACATCCCAGGCATACCCTTGTCATCTGTGATTGACGCACTGCCGAACAACACAGTAGATAAAGTCAGATCCCACAGCTAACTGAGCGTAGGTGCTGACTTTTTTTTATGAGCAGTTCTGTGGCCCAATTTCCTCAGTTACAAACGAGACAACAAATAATATGGCCTTGCAGTTCAGTGTTAGGACCTACTGGCAATGAAACACTATTACAGGCAGGTTGCGTTACAACCACTTCCTAATGTGTTCATCTCTGCAGGAGTCACCACAATCTCATATACCATCAGTGACTTCATCTTCGGCCTCCTGACATCATATGGCCCCTGCCTAAGAGGAGACCATGCACAGGAATCCAGAAAAGTTTAAGCAGGCAGCTCCCCCCCTGGATTCTCCTGAGTGAGGACCAACGAGCAAGAGATCATTGCAGCAGACTTACAGGCTTCCAGAACATGGAGGCTGTGGGGGTCTCTGAGCACCTGTCTTTCCCCTGTAGCTGCCCCAGATGGTCTACAGCTGTCACCTTCAGCATTATCACAGGCTCTGGGCAAGGTGCTGAGGCCACAGCCACAGATTCCCAGCCACAGCTCAGCTGGGCTCTCAGCCCAGACACTCCCCATTTGTGGGTACTGTGGGACAGCTCGCACCGCAGGCACCATGGCGTCTGTGACACAACGAGGAGCTCCTCCAGACTGTCAGCCAGGGCCACACCAGCACACCCTACACAAGTGAGTTCTTGGGCTCCTTACAAAGAACTTGGAAGGGACTCTCCCCAGGTGGAAAGACACCTGTAGAGACAGACACACCCTGAACCATGAGATATTAGACTTCGGTGACAATCGTCACAAGAAAGAGGCAGCTGGGAGAGGTGCCAGCTGTTTCAACCTTAGCCTCTTTTACAAAGAGTGACAGGGTTGACACAGGTGACTCACACGGAAGTGTGAGTGGAAACCAGGCAGTGTCTTCCAGAGCCTGAGCACATACCATGTATGCAAAGGGGCAGCTGAGTGGTCAGACGGCCACTCCCTCTCCCAGTAATGCCTTTCCAATGGAGAGCTCTGTTTAGGTTTATTCAAACGGATGCTGTCCACCCCGCACTTCAACATCGGTGGCACTGGTCATTTTCGAATTATGACCCTAGTTCCACTTCTTTTACATCTTAGGACCTATGTCAACACTGCTCTCTCCTTTCCAAGGTTGGGAGCCAAGGAGATGAGTGTAGGTGAATCGGGAACAGAGGACACACTCATCAAAGGTAGGAGAGGACAAGAGAAAGCAGTTCAGAGGGCAGAATGGAGGAGAAAGGAGAAAAGACGTGGACATGGGTCCTGGTGGTAGAGAGTTACCCCAGGAAACCCGAAACCAGGAGCCCAGCTCCTTTCATAGCTAACCAGAGGGATTTGTGCTAAGTCACAAGAGCAGGTGATGTGAGGCTCCAGGGACCTTCCCCTTCCCTCTGCACAAAGCCTCCTGATGAGATTAAGGAACAGGAAGGATGATAAGAACTTCTGGACAAAAACACTGGGCAACTGTGTTTGCTCAATCGTACACTGTCTGCATTATACGCACAGGCAATCGAAGCGTT